ACCCCCCCCCCCCCAGGGCTGGACACTCTGGAGGCTGAATCTATGTTTGTATCTATCTATCTAATTGTATACTCTCGAATGTACTCAGTGTACCCTGGACATGGTATGGTGCACTGTAGCCGAGAAAACCTGCAATTTTTAGCCAGGAAGTATGGGGTTTTTTAAGATCTATAGATTTTCAGTGATTAAGAAAAAATACGGTGCGCCTGAAGGCATTATTGCTACTAATTGTCATCTTATTTTTAATTGCAGTATTATATATTTAGGCTATTTTAAACCACTGCACATTTTATTGTACAGGGTGTCTAAAGAAACATGACAGTTGGTGAATAGTTTAAAATGTCTTCTTCCACAGTTAGTTAGGTTGTTTGATATTAAAGAGAATGATGAAAATATTGTATGCCAATCATATTATTGTAAAATTGATTTCAAAGTGAAATATATTTGAGAAAAAGATGTTTTTAACGAAATTGAATGCAAAAAATCTTAAATATCCAATATAATATATGGAAGAAGACATTCAACACAATTTAACAACTTGCATGTTTCGTGTGACACCCTGTATCTAATTTAGTGTCGCCAATGAAAATCAACTGTCCTTGTAATTTCCAGAGACCCTCTATTTAAAAAGAACCCCGGGTCCGTCCTAGTATACGATTTTACTTTTTTTGTGTCAAACTTAATCTCAATTTTTAAAGTATTACTTCTAAATTTTAGATTTTCAGAATTTTGACAAGCAAAAACTTGCATAAATTTTACGGAAAAATACACTCTATATTCTTCAAGAAGTTTTGCTCACTTTAGACGTTGGCAGAATTGAAAATAAAATTAAGGAAAAGTTTCTACAATTGGCACAGCTCAATATATTTAAACAAAGTTAAGGGATTGTAAGTGTAATTTACGCCTATTTCAATTGTGCTGTAATATGTACAACGACGTAGGAATTGTAATTACATCTTAGCTTGATAGTTGACAGGATTGTAGCCGTGTGGATTGTGTCCTAGTTGAGGTATATTGATCAATTAATTGCTAGTGTCCGTGTTGACATTGATAGCTAACGAGATCGCGCCCAATGGTGGTGGTGTTGATACAGGGTGTCCCAATTAACATGGGAATTCAGTGACGAATTCGATGTCGTATTTTCAAATAATTCTTTGATTTAGTATAGTGTATAGTGCTACCTACTGAGAAAGCTGTAATCTGTAAGAGTTTCGTCTGCTATGTTAACATTTTGTTTGTTTATGTTTTGACTGAATACGGTTGTACTTAGTAAAACAAGAAAATTGCAGTATACAAACAGAGTAAACTTGTCCGTCTTCACTGTTCATCTTGCGGAGATATTATAGATACAACTTTATAGTCGTTTTCCCTTTTCATAAAATAAGCTCTAGCAGGCATAATAATATTATGGGTTTTGAAAGTAGGTAAAGAGCGGCCCATATCATACAGGGTGTCCCAAAAAACATGGGAATTCAGTGACGAATTCGATATCGTCTTTGTTATGAATTAGCATTGTATATCACTAAACTAAATCAAAGAATTAGTTAAAAAAACGATATCGAATTCGTCACTGAATTCCCATGTTTTTTGGGACACCCTGTATTAGACTATCTCCAAGTTTCAACGCCAAAATAAACCCATAATACTCGAAAAACCTATCATTTTCCGCAAGAAAATTCTTATATTAACCTTATTCAATTTTTCAAAATGATTCATTCCTCTTAAATTTTCTGATTAGTCCCGAAAATCGTAATTAAGATCGATTGACGATCTAATATGATGTGGGACACCCTGTATTACGATGCTAATTCATAACAAAGACGATATCGAATTCGTCACTGAATTCCCATGTTTTTTGGGACACCCTGTAGTTCACAGGATTGTAGCCGGGTGTTGACATTGATAGCTAACGAGATCGTGCCCAATGGTAGTGGTGTTGATAGTTCACAGGATTGTAGCCGGGTGTTGATAATTGATAGCTAACGAGATCGTGCCCAATGGTAGCGGTGTTGATAGTTCACAGGATTGTAGCCGGGTGTTGACATTGATAGCTAACGAGATCGTGCCCAATGGTAGTGGTGTTGATAGTTCACAGGATTGTAGCCGGGTGTTGATAATTGATAGCTAACGAGATCGTGCCCAATGGTAGCGGTGTTGATAGTTCACAGGATTGTAGCCGGGTGTTGACATCGATAGCTAACGAGATCGTGCCCAATGGTAGTGGGGTTGATAGTTCACAGGATTGTAGCCGGGTGTTGACATTGATAGTCAAGAGAATCTGAGTTGTACCTGGATAGATACATGTTCGAGAAACTGTTAAGGAGTAGGCATTTACTACAGTCTGGCTACCAATGTGTCATATAATAATTCATAAAAATACATTTAAAAGAAATTTCATGATGTAAAGAAATAACGAAGGCTACAGTCATTTCACATTTTTCTGGTTCTCACTGTATACATCAGCTGGAATAAATACACTCGAAAGTCAAATTATAAAGTAATAGATGAATACATAGCAAGAGTTTTTATAATAATATAAGATCAAATGCCGCGGAAAAACGAGTTTAATATTAATATATCACTTGTTTTCCTCCATATTTCAGGGCTATTAACTTTCTTGATTTAAAAACAAAAAGCAGTTTCTTAAGAATTATCAAAAAACTTATGACTCTACAATGATATTTTCACAAATCGTATTCAACCCTTTGAAACTGTGAACATCTCAGCAGCTCTCTTTTTTCTGCAGACCAATGATGAAGCATTACAGCTGTCATGAATTTTAAAATAAATTTCAAGAAGACATTTTATGTGCTCTCGCTATGTATTCCTATATGTGAAATTGGCTGTAATACAGGATGGCCATAGATAAAGATAGATTGCGCATAAGACGACATTTTTCATCTTGAAAGATATAAATGTACAGAGATGTTTTAAAGATATTCCTATTATATAGATTAACTAGGTCAGTTGTGAACATTGGCTGTTCTTATGTCATTGAGTACTTGTGGTGTACATGAGTTCTGTAGAGAGAAATTTAAGTTAGTTTAGTCCTTCTCATGTCCATCTTCAGTTCTCGTCAATATGATAAATTGCTCAGTGAAATTTTGTTTTTCAAATAGTTACATTCCCGGAGTTATTTTACACTCTATTCTATGAAACCCATTAAAACACCAAACCAACACTTTGACCCCTAGAAGTATGAGTTCGCGGACTGTACAATTCTTGGTGATTTTGCGTACATAAGCTATCTATGTTTATTTATTTATCTATGAGGATGACCCCCGAAACTTGAAAGCTTTTGGGTTTTAAAAATTATTTGCTGCTATTCATTTGTCAATCTAATTTCACATATCTGATTCTTAAAGCACAATCAGAAAAATCTCCAAAATGTGGTCTGCCTTTTTCTCTTGTTAATATTCCCGGAGATACAGGGTGTCCCACGAAACATGACGATAGCAAGACGACTTGAAAGTCGTCTCTGATATTTGAATTCATTTGTGACATTTAGTCTTCTATCTACTTTAACATGTATGATTCTTAAAACAATTATTACATAATTCTCCTAGCCCTGGCATTTCCAAAAAGTGGTCTGCGTTCTTTGTGCTTTCAATATTACCGGAGATATAAAGAGTTTGGTTCAGATTTCAATTTTGTTAAATAAAAGCAAAATTGTCGAAATCTGAACGAAATTGTTCATATCTCGGGCAATATTGAAAGCACAAAAAAGGCAGACCACATTTTGGAAATGGCAGGATTATCTCTAGAAATTTACTTCTAAAATTAGGTTGACAAATAAATGCTGCAAATTATATCAAAAATCAAGACGATATTCAAGTCATCTTGCATACTGTCATATTTCGTGGGACACCCTGTATATTAATAATTCAGTTGAGATTTCAATTTTTAAAATTCATTTTGAAAATGCCAGAACTGGTTAATTTGAGATTATTAACACTATCATTATACTTCTTAAATTAAGTTTGCGAATAATTTAGACAAATTATTTCTAAGCCTATAGACGACCTTTATATAAGTCGTCATGCTACATTCATGTATTGTTAGACACCCTGTATCCTACTGTAGGTTGAGGGGGTGGAGTTCTAGATGAGGGAGGTGGTGCTGAAGGGTGGGGCCCCCTGGGGGTTCCGGATGACAGGGGGAGCTGATCAACATCATACTCTAAAGGTAGGTCGTTTCCCACAAGGTTATAGTATACAGAGTAATGATGTACGCAAATCCTTTACTAATTGTACAGGCCACGTACTTCCTGCATATTTGATGTTTGTACTGTATGATTAGGCCATAATCTACTTAAATCCTTTATCAGTAAACCGTCTTAATTGTACACTCAAGATAAAAAGCATTCCAGGTAGTTAACTACCAGCCTTTGTGGTCGTTAGAATAATTTGGAATAGAAAGACTACTAAAGTTAGAATTTTTATTCATATTTTATTCATATTTTATTATGAGAATTGCAGATAAAAACAATGTACATTGTACATTTTAAACATAAGAATGATAATAAATCAGGTAAAAGGTAAGGAGGAGGTGAGAGAGTATAAAGAAAAGGGAGGATACTCAGCGTAAGGGTTGGAACAGAGGGTAACATAAGTTATTAGAATCATGTTTATGAACTACAGGGTGAAGAAGATAGTAAAGACTAAGTTTATCCACATGATACACAGTTTTTTTTTACAGACATAATTTGCATAACTATCTAAATAGATCTTGGCGACTTTTTTTTTAAATGATTTTGCAGATTTAGTTTCTTTAAGCTCTAATTCAATCGAATTCCATATTTTTGGAAATAAGGCAGAGGGAAAACATTCTAGGGGTTTAAAGAGAACCCGCACAAGTTTATATGATTTTGTTCTATTTGGTTCAGCTAAAGAATTAAACATATCAGGAACACCACATAAAATTGTTTTTTCTTTAGAAAAAATACCATTTACCAGAATAAAGTGGAATATAAATACTACTAAAGTTAGAATAAAGTTGAATAGAAAGACTACTTGAAGTTTGATTTAATGAGGGCCCCTCCGATTCACAACGGTACCATCTAATCAATAATGTGGAAGATAATTCTTTTACATTTTCCTGCAGTAGAAATGCGCAAGTCACTTTTGTAGAGAAACCCCAATTAAAAATAATCAGTATTTAAGATTATAAATATTGACATATCATTTACACTTAATCAAGAAAAAACTTTTAAGGGTATCTTTGTCGATCGGACTACCTTTGCAAAGTTGCAAAGTTTTCTTCAATGTAAGCTTTTTAAAAAATTAAGCTAGATTTAATTGTTTATAATATAAAAGTTATAGATTTAATTGTTTATAGATTTAATAGTTTATAGATTTAATTGTTTATAGATTTAATTGTTTATAGATTTAATGGTTTATAGATTTAATTGTTTATAGATTTAATGGTTTATAGAAAAAATAGTTTGTAGATTTAATTGTTTATAGATTTAATTGTTTATAGATATAATAGTTTATAGATTTAATTGTTTATAGATTTAATGGTTTATAGATTTAATTGTTTATAGATTTAATGGTTTATAGATATAATTGTTTATAGATTTTAAAAGTTATTAAATTCACAATTTACAATTTAGATATCCCGTGTAAATCCTGGTAGTAAGGCCGCTGAAAAATTAGGTACATATATATCTCTAAAAAATTCTAAATTTTAAACTCATTAATTTCTTGTTGTTACATTAGCAGTAAAAAAAATTGTTATAACTTCACAATTCACTTCAGGGAATTAGGGTTTGTACAAAGCAATAACTCATAAAATTTAAAGGGACTGTAAGCGTAATTTCAACTGACCCTCGAGCAAAGATGGCAATGTCCGATTTACAACGGTGCCCTTGGGCATAGAAAACATTGTCTCGTCGAGTATGAATTAGATATTAATGTTTTTTGCTTCTTTAATTAGGCTGTCTATTTTCATTTGCGGTTTCTCTGCTAAATTGAATTGCGCATTTCTTGTTCACAACAAGCAATGTAGATTAACGTTCAATGGTATTGTTGTAAACACAGTTGTACATCGGACATAGCCATCTTTGCTCGGAGGAAGACTTGAAATTACGCTTACAGCCATTTCAAGATAAACGAAATAATTCAACCTTTTCTGTTAAATTTACTTTATGTCTTTGATTTTTCTAAACCCTATTTTTCTATTTTCTGAACCATCAATTTTTCCCAAATATTCTCAACTATTACATATTCAATTCATTGACAATTCAAGAGAAAAAAGCTTTTAGCTAAAAAAAAAATCTCTAATTGGGAGACATTTTATTTGAAAAATATTTATCTGAGAATTGGCTACTCTAAAAATAAGAAAACAAGTGTCCTCATTAATTCATGGGAGTTTTAATTCGTCTTCGATCTAGGCGGCTTTATTTAGAGTCTGACACTAATGAATGATTCCTTTAAAGGAAGTGTTCGCGAAAAATGAAAGCGGGTATATGTTGATGTCAGATTGACTTCGATATCAAACACCACTAATTTTACTTTTAGTGGCTGCGTCAATAAGGAGAAACTTGCATTTTTCGCGAACACTCCTTTTAAAGTTATCACTTCATTCTCATGTTTAATTGAAACCCCTGTTAAGTGCGGGAAGGAGATCTGATCTATAGAATAAACGGTTATGATACAGCCAACCTCTCTAATCAGGTAATTAAATTAAGATAAAATGACTTAAGTGCAATTTCAAGTGACCTTCCATTTACAGAGTGACATGTCCTATTTACAACGATACCCATTAAACCTTTGCTTAATCAAGGATTTTAAAGATATTCTTGTTTATAGCGGGGGGAAAAGTGTCAAGAAACCGCGCAAGTGTACACTAGCACGGAGAGTACAGTGTACAGTGTACACTGTAACCTCGAGTCTCCTGGCACTCAATCTTCAGCAATTCAATCTCATCGTTGTCCGCACAAAGGTTTAAAGGGTACCATTGTGAATCAGACATTCATCAAAATAATTGGAAGGTCACTTGATGTTACGCTTCCAAATCCAGTCCCTTCAAAGAAAAAAATGAAAGGGGGTATAGGCTGAAACCTAAACACTGAAAGGGTGATTGCAACCGATGAAAGTTCTATCTGATGTTCCTGTCTCGAAAAATTGATATAAAACTGTGTCAAATTTATACAAAAATTCATATCTATATATAAATTTGGCTTGTCTGTCTGTATGTCTGTCTGTCTGTTTGTTTGTATCCAATAAACGTCAAAACGGCTGAACCGATCGGGCCCAAATTTTTTGTGGGACATCTTGGGAGCCCAGGGAAGGTTTATGAATGATCAAAATTTCAAATATTTGTCTCCATCAAAATTCGATCGTCATTAAATTTTTTAAAATTTTGAAAATCCGCGAAATTTTTTGTGAAAATCCGCGAATTATTTTTGTTTTGTTTTACGATGTACACAAAGAGAACATATTCACAATTAATTTAGGAGATGGGCGCGAAGCACCCTCTAAGGCTAGAAAGAGGGGCGCGAAGCGCCTTGAATTTCTAGTATATAAAATTTTGAAAATCTGAATCTTAAATCACGTGACCAGAACTTCCAACAACTTCCGTACAGTATACAGGTCATTTTCATCTGTATCACGTGACCAGTAAACTGCACTGCCATTGGTGGGAGTTCTGGTGACGTAATACAGACGTATAAATAATATTATCAATTATATCTGTTAAAAATAAAAATAAAAATTATAAAATAGTAATTGGCGCAAACTTACTTTTATACAAAATTGTATACATATGAATTTTTGTATAAATTTGACACAGTTTTATATCAATTTGTCGAGACAGGAACATCAGAGAGAACTCTCATGAGTCTCAATCAAGTCCTAAAGTGTTTAGGTTTCATCCTATACCCCCTTTCATATTTCCTTTACAGTCCCTGTAAGGTTAAAACTTTTGTGTCAAATAGCGCTAATCATCAACTTTCGACAAGGAAATTTTTAAATCTACTTTAAGGGACTAAAAGCCTTTTTAAGTGACCCTCTATGCAACGAGTGCACTTAAAAGCTTTGGATGATGAAGTATGAATAAGATATAAATTTTTTCTATTTTCGAAAACTGTTGAATTATAGTTGTGGTTTCTTCTTCAAAAGTGACTTTTCTATTGCAGGAATATATATCAGAGTTTAAAACAACGATCAGATAAAGGTTTCAAGGGTACCGTTGTGAAATAAGCATTGCCATCTTTGCATGGAGAGTCACTATAAATTACACTTACAGTTCCTTTCATCCCACAAGTTCCCGTAAAATAATTAAAATAACAGATAGGACACTAGATGTCCTTTATTCAAGTTTTATGCATGTTTCGTTCACAATAACACTGAGGCAGAAGCCCGAAGGAGTTACACGTAGTCGGACTAGAACAGGATCTCTCTCTTTCGTTCTATACGCCGACTGTTATTTTAATTAATCTATGAGTAATCCTTTCCGGCAACTGGTGCATACCACGGAATATCTATGAGGAGTTAATATAATTCGTAGGAAATCAAAAGATCCTGGGATTTACAGCCCAAAAGTTTGACATACAGCGATAACCAGAAAACTCTGAATTAGAAAGACGACTTTCAGACTCAAGTTATGACTTTAAAAAGTCCAATAAACATGGGACACTGAAATTGTGCTTTGGAAACAGACCTATTTTACATAATTTGTGATTAAATAAGTTGCTAGTGAAGCTATTTGCGTTGTAACAACATCAAATACACTCAAGTATTGCTATAAAGTCTTCTTCATATTTCAGAGTTTTCTGGTTATCACTGTATGACTAAAAAAGTTTCCAAGGATGAAATTTACAAATTAACTGATTTCTCGTTACCAACTCGAATGTTCTAATCTATATGTCTTTGGCACATGATGGCGTACACCTATCATATTTTTCACACTGCACACGTCAAATTTTAAAACATGAAAGAAATTTAATCCGAGAACACCTGTTTAGGAATCTTTTGATATAATTCATTTTTTTCGACGCTTTTTTATACTTTTTAGGAAATAAGATTAAAACGATCGTTTTTTAATAGGAAGCCCATATTTTGCTGAGATCTTGTAAAGACAACCTCTACCTCATCTTAAATCAAAAGGTATTTTTTACGATATTTTAACCTTTGTTTCTTTGTGGCCAGAAAAAGTAAATAAATGATAAATGGCTCTCTTTCTCATTGAATTTCTCTACTTAAAGTTGGATTGGTAAAAAAGAAAATGTCTTTAAATTATACAGGGATTCTTACGAACCATATCAATTGAGAGACTTTTAAAGATCGTCTTTAATTATTGAAAAAAATGTCCATTCCTTTGTCAACATAATTTATTAACTATGTTCATTAAATAATCTAGGCCCCATTGCATTTCAAAAATGATGTCTACCTTTTTTGTTTTGTGCTTCAAAGAAATTATGAAGTTTGTGTAGATGTACATTCAATTTATTATGTAATTTTTAAGATACAAAGAAGATACACCATCAAATTAAAAGTCTTTTTTCCGTTTTCTCATGTACGCGTAATTTCTAGTGACCCTCTATTGTTAAAGTGGCATGTCCGATATACAACAGTTACCCTTAAAAGATTTGAGTACTGTTTATTTTCATTAATATAGTTTCCCTGCACAAGTGACTTGCGCATTGCTCGCTTCAGAAACAATGGAGAAATTTTAAGAATTAAAAACTTTTCACGCCAAAAAAAAACGTTTTCTTTCACATTATTGATCAGAATTAGGTTTTATGGGGTACCGTTGTGAATTGGGAATGCCCCACTTTTTAAATGTATAGGTCGGCAAAATTACGACAATTAATGAATTATAATTTGTTCTCTGGTTTTAGTAAGCATTTGTGTAAATCAATGAAAGGGGTATAGGCTGAAGGAGTTGATCGAGACCCATTAGATTTTTATCTGATGTTCCTGTCTCGAGAAATTGATATAAAACTGTGTAAAATTAATACGAAAATCTTTATATATAAAGTTTTGTATATCACTCGTAGGTTTAAACGGATCATATTAATCAAATACGCAACTAATCTGAAAACGACGATATCCCAGAGGAGCCTGAGAAACTTAGGTTTGCTCCTATTATTAGTTGAATTTAATAATTTTTCATTTTTAATAGATATAATTGATCATATTATCTATATGTCCGTATTATGTGACCAGAACTCCCACCAATATCAGTGCAGTATCATAATCACGTGTCCCCGTCTGTATCATGTGACACAATTTTATATCAATTTCTCGAGACGGGTACATACGATAGAACTCTCATGGGTCTCGATCAACTCCTAAAATTTTTAGGTTTCAGCCTATACCCCCTTTCATTTTTCCTTTACAGTTCCTTTCTGGGAAAAAATAAAAAGAAAGGAAAATTAGAAAAAGCAACAATAAATAAATAATGAAAATAAATATAAATAATATCTGTAGGGAAAAGAGCGGAGAAAAGAAACAGAAATTGATTTATTACAAGGCTGGGAACATTTGGATAATATCAAGAATAATACGGAAAATCCGGAAACGGAAATTAAAAAAGATCCGGAACTAAGTGAAGAGGAAGAAACGGCGAAACAGAATTATAGAGAAGATACGAAAAAGGAAAATACCCAAAATGAAGAAAACAAAATGGAGAATGATTTAAAGAATATTGGAAAGGAGGAAAAGGTGAAAAAATATTTGGAAAAATCCAAATTAATTTCGTTTAAATCCTTGCACAATATCCACCTAGCATTCCTGCACGAACACGAGGATAAAATTAAGGTAAGTTCATTGTTTTTCTGAGGATCAACACCGAACTGTTTCTTAAGTATTTCTGATACAGTGATAGCAGAAAACGATAGAATAGGAAGACGACATTATAGCAATACCTAAGTGTAGTTGATGTTGTTAGAAAGCAAATAGTTTTACTAGACACTTATTAACTCACTAATTGAGTGAAATGGGTCTGGTTACACTGATGTGGCTCAAGCTCATTGGACTTTTAACTTGATTCTAAAAATCGTCTTCCCACTTCAAAGTCGATCACTGGATAATAAGGCAGTTTATCCTGCTTGTGGATAGGGTTTTAATCGGTTTGGTACGTTTTTGAAAACTGAAAAGTTCAAACATTTCCAAATTTTGAATTTCTAATTCTGTGCGTAGAACAAAAACTTAAATCACTTAAATGTGGAATAAAGGAATGTAAATTTTGCCACAAACTCAAATGTTTTAATCCCTATATCTTTCCAACCTTAGTTTAAAACTAAAGAATGAAAAGTTCAGACTTAAATTTTAAGTTTCAGCTTTAATGCAACTTCTGACTTATTTAATCCTGAATTTTAACACCGGGTTTAAAATCTTGAAATCCTGCATTTTCCCAATTGGTTTATCAATCAATCATCATTTAGCTGAAAGAGCAGCATTAAACTTCACGATATCTTTAAAAGTGAAAACTTTGATTGAATAAATTTCACGTTTTAGATTAATTAATTTTTTGCATGTAAACTCAAAAAAAACGGTTGTAACTGGAAATATGTTTTGTTTTTGGTTACGTAAATAATTTAAAATTATTAAACAGCTGATGAGCGATGGTAACGTAATTTATCTCTTTGTAAATCCTTTTCTCTGATTGGTTCAGATTTTTCCCGTGAAATTCAAATTTTCCTTCAGGGTTAAATTGAGAGTTTGATATTTAAGAAGCAACTCATTATTTTACATAACTTTCAAGCCATAACTTAAATTTCGCACATTCTTTAGTTTTAAACTCCGATGGTGTAAACCTTTAATATTTTAAATTAGAATATTTCATCTAACAGAATTTTAGTTTAAAATATCAAAGGTTCGGTTTTGAACCTCAGAAATACAGTGTTTGTATATCACATCGAACAGTTTAATAAATGGGGTCAGGCAGTTTTTTAGATACCAATATTATTTCATGTGGTTTCTTTACTTTATTCTTTTGTTTTCTGATTTAAAATCTACGCAAAAACATAGACCCCAAAAAGTTAGCACAGGAGTTTCGTTCAATGAGAGTTTCTTCAATTTCCGGCTCTTGGGTTTTTACATTTAAGAATTTAACATATAGAATTGTATTTTTGGTAAGTTTGCTTTTTTATTACATTATGCAAATTTTCTTCCGACAAAAGATTTAAATATAACGTTTTATTTTCATGTTTATTTTGGCCAATTATATTTTTAAAGTTTTGTCAGCGAAAAAATTTTGACAATTAAATAAAAGCAACCTTTAGAATGCGTGAAATTTTTTTATGTGACAAACAACTCAAATTGTTATTGTTAAATCTATGAAAAGGGAACACATTTTGATTTTAAATCTTTATATAAACTGTGTTCAGTGTGATATATGTAAACATAAACATTTAGAAACATATAAAAACATCAATATACACAAATTTGCGTCCAAACCAGTGAAATGTAGTTGTCATTTAGTCTATCGATAAGAAACTTGGCTAAATATTTTGTCATTTTTAGAGATATTTAGCTAAATGTTATTAAAAGAAATGTTAAATCGTTTGCTACATTTCTGAAAAAAAAACTTTTAACTTTGAACTGATTTGGACCTTGCCACATCACATTAATCAATATCTACACGTAATTCTTTTTTAAACTCCATAAAAAAAACCTTTTCCGGGTTTTTTTTCACTTCCAGAAATGTGGCCAACAAAAAAATTTCATTTATTTCAATCTTCTATGTGCACGTACAATTTAGAAAAATGTTTGATAATAATTTTAACTTGTTTTTGTTCCAAATCTTTGACCATTTTCATAGTACACAATAAAAAATGCAAAATGCAAAATGAAAGACCAATAAAGATCAACACAATTATAAATGTTTTGCGTCGACTTTCAAATGTCGCAACGCATTAGCTTTTGGCCTAGACATTTACATTTTTTCAGTCCTAGACATTTACATTTGTTCAGTTCTAGCCATTTACATTTTTTCAGTCATAGTCATTTACATTTTTTCAGTCCTAGACATAAACATTTTTTCAGTCCTAGACATTTACATTTTTTCAGTCCTAGAAATTTACACTTTTTCAGTCTTAGGCATTTACATTTGTTCAGTCCTAGACATTTACATTTTTTTCAGTCCTAGACATTTACATTTTTTCAGTCCTAGACATTTACATTTTTTTCAGTCCTAGACAATTTTATTTTTTCAGGCCTAAACATTTACATATTTTCAGTCCTAGAAATTTACATTTTAAAACTGCAATGCGCTTGTTCTTTGATAAATCATGTTTATGTCTGAGGTTCTTTCAATGATTTTGGATTAAAGTACCAGAACTTCGAAGTCATTAAAAGAATAAATAAAATGTCTTCATCTAATCCAAATAGATTCTAGTATACAATAGATGGCAACGTAGAATTTGTACACTATCAGTACAGCTGTATTCTGACGTCACATGTGTCAATTCAGTTTTTGTGTCCGACAAAATTATTAATAATAGTGATAATTTTAGAATAAAGTCCTTATCTTACAGAAAAAAAGTGCAATTTTGTGTGTTCTTTAGTTTATGATTTCACACTTTTTTATTTAATCTTGGAAAACATGTAAATTGTGAATTAATTGTGAGAAAATTTCGGTTTCCTTGTTATTTTGACACTTGTGACGTTGTGTATAGTTGATCCATTTCTCTGTTGCGACCTATTGTTCTTGATAATCTATTTTATCTAATCCTACTGGTAATGAAATGCTGCAGACAATTAAACAATTGTATTGAGCTCTTTAAAACTGTTCCCGCATATTCCATTGCTATTCTTTTATTTTTACAGTTACCGAGATTTAGGAAAAATAGTATAAAACCTATTAAAAAATTGTTAAGACGACATTTTATAAATTCTTTCGATACCTCCGAAGTTCTGGGCTAAACTGTAGTTCAGTCGATTTCACGTTTTTTGGAAACAAACAATTATTTACAGAAAAGTAAATATAGATCAAAGAACATTTTTCATTTATGGAATTTAAAAAGATTAAAAATGAGATAAAAGTTTTGCTGCTTTAATTGTGACTGCACTTGTTGGATTAGCAAAAATGTGCGTTGAGAATTATGTTGTTTTGGCAATGAAAAATTCAACCTTTTATGTGCTTTTTATTAGGATTGTTCAAGCCTATTCATAAGGAAGCAGTGCCATGAAAACAAATTATTTAGTAAAAACCCTGACATCTCTTGTTATGCATAAATAGTATTCTAAGCAATATTGCTTTTCCAAACCAAAAATACTTTATAGTAAAAAATCACTACAAGGTCCAAAACTATTTTTCCAATTTTTTTAGATGTTTATATTTTATCTTTTTTACAAGGAAATCAAGTCCGTCGATTTTTTTCAGCAAAATCATAAAACCTGATAAAATTTTCCATTTTAAAGGGACTGTAAGCGTAATTTTAAGTGACAATCTGGATGCACAAAATGTAATGCACAATTTACAACGGTACCCTTAAAAGCTTCAAGTATGAATTTGATATTCACGTTTTTGTTTCTTTAAACTTTTATTTTTATTTGCAGTTAAACACTTATCGCGTCGAAAAAAACGACGATATTTTCCACAATTTGATCAGATCAAGGTTTCAGGATACCGCTTTAATTAAAATTACGCTTTAAGTCCATTTAACCAGTTTTTTAAAAACAATTTACGTTTTCAAAAAATTCAAGAGATTCAAATTATTCTTCTATATATATATTTACTTTGCTTGTCTGGGTGGGTGTCTGTTTGTTTTTATCCAATAAACTTAAAACGGCTGAAACTATCATGCCCAAATTTTAAAAATCCAAGGATTTTTTTTATATAATCCGCAAACTTTTTTGTTTTTCATCTAACAATGTTTACAAAAAGAAAGTGTTTACAATTAAAAAAGAATATGGGCGGGAAGCGCCCTGAAGGCGTAGTATATGTAAAATTACTGAAAAAAATCGTAGAAAAAAAATTATTGTTAAAAGAGCCCTCTACCCCTGCCCGCTACTCCAGAGTCCATCTTCTTAAAACTCTTCCGGGAGAGAAAACTCTCTAACCATTCAGAGGTAAGGCCTAAATCAGAGTTTTTTTTAGAATTTTGCCATTCATTCAGACAGTTTTAAAAACATTTTTGAAATTTATTTATTATTTGACCCAAAATGGTTTGAACTTGGCAGAATAGAAAAAACACATATATTTAACATTTTTGAAAGAAATTTTTTGAAGATAATAAAAAAGTCATTCTAGAGGAACTTTTTTTCTTCATGTTTTTATTCCACCCAAGCAAATTGTAAACAAAAAAAGGATATGATATTAACTGCAGTACACTTTAAACGTAAACAATTTATGTAGGGGGGGGGGTACGTCGAAGCTACAAAAGTCGAAGCTAAAAACGTCGAATAAAAAAAGTCGATTAAGAAAACGGTGAAAATAAAAACGTCAAATAACAATTATCAAAACGTCGAAAGTTACAAAACGTCAAAAGTTTTATTTTCTAAAATTATAAATTTTTATTCGACATTTTGTAGCTTTTGAAATGTTGTAACTTTAGAACTTTTTAAGTTACGATGTTTTTAAAAGTCGTCATTTTGTAGCAACGTTATTTCAACGTTTTGTAACATTCGAAGTTTTGTATCTTTCGACTTTATGTTGTTCGACATTGGTTACTGAATATTTTTCAAAAGGTTTTTCACTGATTTGATTTCAGGATGGAGACACCTCTACTCTCCGTTCTATTCATGGTAATTCTCTCTTTTCTTATTTTTAAAGATAATGGCGGACAAAAATAAAGTAGAGGTTTTAAGAGGTTTGTATTGGGACGACGTGCATATTACTCCGTTTTATGGGACACTTTTTAGTGGGATTACAGTCGATAAAAAATGTAATACATTTGGGATCAGACTCGGTTAAATTACAGCTCAATTGGAATCAAACTTGTTTAAAATACAACTTAGTTTGGATTACACTTGGTTAAAATGCAGCTCAATTGGGATTAAACTCAGTTAAAATACAGCTCAATTGGGATTAAACTCAGTTAAAATACAGCTCAATTGGGATCAAACTCGGTTAGAATACAGCTCAATTGGGATTAAGCTCGGTTAGAATACAGCTCAATGAGGATTAAACTCGGTTCAAATACAACTCATTTGGGATTAAACTCGGTTAAAATACAGCTCAATTGGGATCAAACTCTGTTAAAATACAGCTCAATTGGGATTAAACTCAGTTAAAATACAGCTCAATTGGGATCAAACTTGGTTAAAATACAGCTCAATTGGGATTAAACTCGGTTTATAGAATACAACTCAATTGGGATTAAGCTCGGTTAGAATACAGCTCAATTGGGATTAAACTCAGTTAAAATACAGCTCAATTGGGATCAAACTCGGTTGAAATACAGCTCAATTGGGATTAAACTCGGTTTATAGAATACAACTCAATTGGGATCAAACTCGGTTAAAAAACAGCTCAATTGGGATCAAACTCGGTTTATAGAATACAACTCAATTGGGATATTGATGTTATTTTCTTGTTATTTTCCGTTTAATCAAAAAGAAGAGGATATAAGGTCAGCTGATGGTTTAAAAAGGGGAAATATTTTATTATCAGAATTATTTTTGAGCCAAAACGGATTTATAAAGAAATTTAGTTTAATGTATTTGATTGTAATGTACGTATCTAACCCTGAAAAATAGTATATGCAGTTCATTTTCTCCCTTAAACTACAGTTAAACCCTAAATAAGCCATACATCGAAAGAATTCATCAAATGTCGTATTCCTCACTTTCTGATAATGGAATGTTGCAGATATTTAGTTTTTTAATTAAATAATTATATGAAGCTCTTTAAAACTGTTCCCCCATATTCATGGCCATTTATTTATTTTCGCAAATACTGAGATTTACGTAAAATAGTGTAAAACCCATTAAAAAAATGTCAAGACGACATTTAATAAATTCTTTCGATGTATGGCTCATTTAGAATTTAACTGTATGAACCTTGTTTTTCTCATGCCAGCACTAAAATGACGTAAGCACTGTATTGATATACAAGGTGTACCGCGAAACATGACACTTGGTGAATAGTTTGAAATGTCTTCTTCCATGATTTTTAAGTTATTTGATACTAGAGAGACTAATAAAAAATTATTTATGACAGTCGTATTATAGTAAAATTGATTTCAAAGTAAAATTTATTTTAGTAAAAGACTTTTTAACTAAATAAACTTCACAAAAAGTCTTCAATATCTAATACAGTATATGGAAGAAGACATTTAAAACCATTCACCAACTGTCATGTTTCGTGGGACACCTTGTATATATACCGATCAAAATTTATTTCCAAATATAAGGAATTAATATCCTAATTTGCATTCTTAAGATAGAATTTATGAAAGCCGAATACTATGTAAAATATTTTCCTAATAAGTTTTTTTATTTTCTTATGTTTCAAATTTATTTTTTTTGCCAAAGGAAAACTGAAACACAGAATAATTAGTAGTTTGCTAGAGAAAGGTGAGATTCATAGATTCTGCAGACTTAAGAAAATATGTGACTTTTTCTTTTAAGCTTTTATTTTACTCACATACTGACAATATCACATATATAAGAATACATAGCAAGAGCGCGTTGAATGTCGTCTTGAAATTTGTATTTAAATACGGGGTGTCCCACGAAACATGACATTTAAGAAATAGTTATTTTTAGTTAAACAAATCTTTTGCCTAATTATATTTTACTTTGAAATCAATTTTAATATAACATGACTCCCATATGATATTTTCATTGATCTTTGGTATCAAACAACTGAGCAAATAATGGAAAAAGTCATTTTAAACTATTCATCAACTGTCATGTTTCGTGGGACACCCTGTATATGACAGCTGTATTGCTTCATCATTGGTCTGCCAAAAAAAAAGCTGCTGAGATGTTCACAGTCTGAAAGGGTTGAATATGTTTTATGAAAATATATCCATATATCATATTTTGATAATTCTTAAGAAACTGCTTTTCATGTTTAATTCAAGGCCCTGAAATATGAAGGAAAGCAATTGATATAATAAACTTGTTTTCCCGCGCCATTTGATCTTCAATATGTTGAGAATACAACATTATAAAAAACTCTTGCTATGTATTCATCTATCACTTTATAATTTGACTTTCGAATTTTTAATAGTAACTAACTTCTTGCCAAACAATTTGTATTTCCGATAACTTTCCGATGTCGTAGACCTTTAACATTTCAAACTTTAATTCCAGATAGATCAAGTCAAGGTTATAATGCAAGGAAAGTTATTTCAGAGGTGTACACATCTTTTGTACTGCAGTGTACTGTCTCTGGGCGGTAATGTAAACACAAGATGGATGTTACAGCCTGACATGGGATCCATCTTTCATATAAAAAATCGATGAAATATTATGTGAATTATAAAAATTTCAAAATTCAACGTTTTTATCCTCCTCGGATATAAACAAACACTGATGCATCTATACTTGTTTACAAATTCCGCCAAGAGAGAACTGGTTTCAATATGTACGCAGAGTATACGCAACTGCAATTAACTTTCCTTGCATTATAACCTTGGATTCCTGATAGATCAAATAGTTTGAAATAGTAAAATTTTACACATTTAGGTTGCAAGGACATAAGGATTAGAACATTTTAGTTTGTGAAAAGAACTTAATTTGCTTTTATTAATTGATTTTCTAGATTAATATTTAATATTTTTTATAGATTAGAGTTTATCTTTTATAAGAATATTAAAGATATGTTTTTTAAATTCTTTATATTCTTTAAATATTTCTAAAAAAGAGTTTTTTTTTATTTTTAAGCAAAAAATTGCTTATACAGAACAGAGATTAGAATAGAAGGGAAATAAGAATATCCCTCGGTATGATTTTGTTCAGTCTCTTTGAGCCTTAAAGAAGTTCAAAGTGTACAACTCGTGTTAATGTTCACAAATTATACGTAGTACATCACAATAATACAACGAATAACATGGCGTCCATACAAATTGAGAAAATTGCAACATACGACTTAGACCGTAAAAAAATCAGTTTAATTTCAAACAAATCATTCAGATATTACAACCTATAGTCATCGATTATCTTTCGCCACATTTATATATAGTTGATTTTTCATAATATGTTTTAATTTGTATGATCTGAGAGTTACTTGTAAAAACGTTTATTCCTGTTTCGAGGATTTTTGGTAATGAAGACGACATTTTCATTTTTCCAGGAATGTTCGAAAACAAGTTGTAAGCTAAATATATACAAATGTGGCGAAAGATAATCGATGACTATAGGTTGTAATATCTGAATGATTTGTTTGATATTAATTTGATTTTTTTACGGTCTAAGTCGTATGTTCCAACTTCCTCAATTTGTATGGGCGCTACGCTCTTCGGTATAAGTCGTCTTTCTCAATTTTCACCTTATAGACGCAACAGATAGAAGTAAGATTAGTAGCGATCAAAAGCGCTTTTTTATCTCATTTAGCCTATACCCCCTTTCATTTTTCGCGAAAACTCCCTTTAAGAGTACATTTTAAAAACTTGACCGAAGAATTGATTGAATCTGTAAATAATTGTAATTATTCTTACAAAAAGTTACCAAAATAATTTTTATATTTTAATTTTTTACAGAAATTAAAATCTATTGTTTAAAGGGACTAAATAAGCGTAATTTCAAGTGACCATCCATACAAAGATGGCAACGTACATTGTCTGATGAAGGATGAATCAAATATTAATGTTCATAATTTTGAAAACTAAATATTTTCTACTGTGGTTTCATAATAAAAGTTACTTGCGTATTTCTGCTGCAGGAAAACATGAAGGAATTATCGGAAATAAACTTTTTTAAGTAAAACGACAAAAAATTTACATTGTTGATTATATGAAGGTTTCAAGGGTACCTTGGTGCATCTGTTGCATCTTTGTATAAAGGGTCACTTGAATAACGCTTACAGTCCCTTTAATAAAAGACAAGTTTTATTATTTGTTTGTTTTTGATGCTTTACGTCTGTTTGGGATTTTCTAAATATAGTTTGTACTGCTATAGTAATTTAAAATATAAAAAATGTATTCCATGGTAGTTTAAAAAATTGATACAAAAACAAGAAAAAATCTGAAAAGCCTTGATTACTTAATTCAACCATCTTCGATGAGATAGAAAGCTGTTTAGTTTTTCTTGCTTAGCTGTAAATCCTGTAGCAATCAATATTATCATTTTTTTAAAGAACTGACTAAATCTGTTTTATCTCACTAAACGGTGTAAATAATATGCTAAATAAACTAAATTTGAAACCATTCAAATAAGTTAACATTTATTTGGTTCAAATATTAGTTTAGAAAGTCTTAGATATAAGTATGCAATGTCAAGAAACAGTGTTCACCGACGTGCGTGCGCGCGAAGATATAATTTTGAAATTCTAAAAACTTCTTTTTTTAGATTTAAAATCTAAACTCCCAAATGAAAGAGCGGAATTAAAGGTACATATTTAAGAATACAGGTGTACAGGTACAGGTACAGGTACAGGTACAGGTACAGGTACAGGTACAGGTACAGGTACAGGTACAGGTACAGGTACAGGTACAGGTACAAATGTTTTCCTTTAGAATGAAAGATGTTGGAGTCCCGAATTTAAAAGAAAATATTTGACTTCAAGAACAGGTAAATTTAGAATATAAAAACATACTTCTAGAAAAGTCTAATCATTAAAAAAATAAGTTAAATTTAATCTAAAAATCTGGGTTGAAACCTTGTGTTCATGTCACATTTTACAGTACAAAATGCACTTCAAAACTTCGGTTCATTTGAAGTACTGTACTGGCATTAAGCAAGCTTGGACAAGTTGTACCACAGAATATAAACGCTTAAAACGAAGGTTATAATACAAGGAAAGTTAATCGCAGTTGCGTATACTTTGCGTACATATTAAAACCAGTTCTCTCTGGGTGGAGTTTGTAAACAGGAATAGATGCATCAATATCCGAGGAGGATAAACGCATTGAATTTTGAAAATTTTGATAATTCACATAATAACAAATCGGTCAAGAAATTCATGGATTTTGATAGGACATACACAAAAACAGACAAATAGAGCAGAATTATGCATTTAAGAAAATGGCGGTCATTTTAAACACTTGTTAAACTATAGCAAAGTTACATTTATTTGAATATTTGCAAGATTTTAAAGAACACCCTGTAAATAGATGTTCATTTTAGTCTTTTTTGACTATTTAGATGCCGTAGGGCGAATAGATGATTATTTACCAACTGATGATGAATCTTCATGTACATCTACACCTTGTACTGTACAATCAGGCAACATCAGTACAACAGATTGTACTGCAGGTAGAAAAAATGCAATAACAATCATTTTCAGAAATTAGTTTTTAGTTTTTAAAATTAATTTTCAATTATTTTAAAGATCCATCGACAAGAACAGAATCAAAAACTCAATTATGTGATACTAATAAGGTGAAATTCATAATAATGATGATGATGATGATGATGATGATGATGATGATGATGATGATGATGATGATGATGATGATGATGATGATGATGATGATGATGATGATGATGATGATGATGATGATGATGATGATGATGATGATGATGATGATGATGATGATGATGATGATGATGATGATGATGATGATGATGATGATGATGATGATGATGATGATGATGATGATGATGATGATGATGATGATGATGATGATGATGATGATGATGATGATGATGATGATGATGATGATGATGATGATGATGATGATGATGATGATGATGATGATGATGATGATGATGATGATGATGATGATGATGATGATGATGATGATGATGATGATGATGATGATGATGATGATGATGATGATGATGATGATGATGATGATGATGATGATGANTTATGTTTTTTTGCGCATTTTCAAAATTTTACAAAATTTTACAAATCAGCCCTTTTGACGTTTTTTAGATACAAACAGACGGGTAGACAAGCAAAGTATACACATAGATAGTAATGAAGAAATAAAGAAATATAGAAACACTATTAAAGAAAAATGGGAATATAGAAATTATCGTAAATGTAACTACGGACATTTAAAACAATGACAAGCATATATTATGGGATAAACTTTTGTTCAAATTAAAAATATATACTGATGTCTTATATGTATACCATCTGTCTAATATGTATACTGTATGATGTTTTATCAGAAATATATATTATTGTTATTATTTTTAGAAATATAGAAATTCAAAATTCAAAATACAAAAGGAACTGACCACTCGCTGGAAACTTTATATTTTGCAGGCTGGTGCCTTAAACCTTTCATAGTTCAAACTGGGTATTGTGTTTAAGCAAAGCGTAAAATATCCACAGTTTATAATTTAAAAGAGATTTGAAAATTAGAGCTTGTGGCAAGTGTTCAATACCTTTGATTGTTAATATAATTAACGCTTGTTTTTTGCCTGAACTTTCTAAATTGTCTTTACAATTTTCAATGTAATAAAAAAATGGAAACGTGATAAATTTTAAATTAAAATATTTGATCTAAAGTCAGTTCTGACTTAAAAAAGTACAAGTTGAAGTGGAATTTTTTAAAAATCGAATATTTTTTTAGCCTATGTTACCCCCAGGGAACCCATGAGCTTTAAAAAAAATTCAGAAAATTCGGTTCAGCCGTTTGGCCAGCTATAGCTAACATATATGTATGAGCGAAGAGCTTTATCATCTTGATAGATAGACAACAAATATCTTATAAAAAAAATAAAAGAATAATAATAATTTGTTGATGACATTTTTCTGTTGTCAGGAAATCAAACAAACAATGCAAGAAGAATAAGACTGATCCTAATGTTTCTAAAAAAGAATATAGGTAATATACAGGGTTATCCACATAGGATGAGACTTCATTTTAAAAAACCATGAGTGTCCACAAAAAAAATCATCCCATTCGGTCCAGCTCTTTGGTCGGCCAGAGGGAACATACATATACATATGAACGTCTTGTTTTATTATATAGATATTTTAGAATCTGAATATTTTTATTTCCGGTTCTAATAAATTTTTATACAATTTCCGGTTCTAATAAATTTTATACAATTTCCGGTTCTGATAAATTTTATACAATTTTTTTTAAAATACTGTTTTACGTTTATAGCATTTTTATATAAATTACATTTTAAGCTCTACTAAGATAGTTAGGACTTTGAATTTACGGATTGATTTTTAAATTTCTTTATACAGTGAAACCCTTAATAACGAACACATCGAAATAATTGAGCCAATGTCGTATTCTTCACTTTCTGATAATGGAATGTTGCAGATATTTAGTTTTTTTAATTAAAATTATTATATGGAACTCTTTAAAACTGTTCCCGCATATTCATGGCTATTTATTTATTTTCGCAAATACTGAAATTTACGTAATAAAGTATAAAACTCATTGAAAAATTGTCAAGATGTCATTTGATAAATTCTTCCGATGTATTCTTAATTAAGGGTTTCACTGTAGTAAATTATTTTAGCTGGATTTTAAACTTGTGTGTGTTGAGGCTAATAAAAAAAAAAAATACACGGTGACATTACCTTGTTTTGCGACGTTAAAATATCCGACATTTAAATTCGAAATTTGTGTTGACTGATTTTTCTGTAGAATATTGACAATACTACTTTGGCTTTGCTCTATTTTTTTTCTCTTACATTTTAATCGCTTTATCAGCGAAAATGATATAAAAATGATAAAAAAAATATATAAATGATATAAAAAATGATAAAATTCACATTATCATAATCAACAGAGCGGAATTTATACTGTTTGCTTCCTTTTATGTGTGGTTCCCAGTGGCTGCAAACTTGTTTTTTCCCTTGCAAAATCATTAAATAAGTCATTTAAAGACGATACTTATTTTTACCTTTGCAACGTCATATTTTTTAAGTTTCAGGTCGTCTTTACAGTCTCATTCTTAGTGGGTAACCCTGTAGAACAAAGATAAAATCTTTGATAAATGATATTTTCATTGGTAGCGGTTGAACAAGCGGTTGAAAGATAGTTAATACTCTTTGCAGCTTAGAAAATGAAATTTTATAAAAATTCATTTACAAACTGTTTGTCTTCAACAGAGAGAAACACAAATTCTTAACTACGTCGCAGAAACTTGACAAGATCGATCTCAACCGCTGGTTCAACCGCTACCACTGCAGAGTTTTTTCTCCATAGTATCTTTCATTGATTTTTTATTATTTTGAAAATTACTATTCCGTATATAGTCCGACAGATTATGATGTATTCTGACGATACCGACCAATGCAAAAGCCACAAAGATTACCACAAATTCGGAACAGCCATGGTATTTATTTTTATAGCTTAAGTGCTAAATCGCTTAATATGTAAGCAAGCATCACTTTTTCCCATTATTTGAACTTCAGAAATGTTTTCGTTGGACTATACAATATTTCAGAAGTATCCATCTTGGTGGGGATATCCCCAAGTTTGGACTTGGGATGGGGAATAGAAAACAAGGCACAAAAAAAGCACAAAAGGAATTTTACAGAAACTTTATTTACTGTCAAGTTGTTATATCGCCATTATCATCATCATTATAATTATCATTATCATTATTATTATCATTATCATTATCATTATTATTATCATTATCATTATCATTATAATTATCATTATAATTATCATTATCATTATTATTATCATTATCATTATCATTATCATTATCATTATTATTATCATTATCATTATCATTATCATAATAATTATCATTATCATTATTATTATCATTATCATTATCATTATTATTATCATTATCATTATAATTATCATTATCATTATTATTATCGTTATCGTTATCGTTATCATTATCATTATCATTATCATTATCATTATCATTATCATTATCATTATCATTATAATTATCATTATCATTATCATTATTATTATCATTATCATTATCATTATCATTTTTATTATCATTATCATTATTATTATTATTATCATTATCATTATTATTATCATTATTATTATCATTATTATTATCATTATCATTATCATTATCATTATTATTATTATTATTAGTATTATTATTATTATCATTATCATTATCATTATTATTATCATTATCATTATTATTATCATTATCATAATTTATATATTTATATTTATCAACTATATTTAACATAAAGTTGATAAAAATGTTCAGTGTATGACAAAAATATCTATATTTTATCAAGAACTGAACACAAACTATAATTTTCTAACCCCCGATATCTTTGCAACCTTATGACATTTGATCTTTATACTTAGATTATTATACAGCAACATTTTTAGTTTTAAATAACACAGGTCTGCGACATCAGGTTGCAAGGATACAGGGTTACCCTCAAAGGATGAGACTTCAGAGACGACTGTCCGGAATTTGAAAAGTCCGTGATCTTCCATGTAGGGTACCTTGTAGGCCAAAACTAGATTATATCTTAATCATCCCATAAACCATCAAGAAACCAAATTGAATGCAGAAACCAAAATCAAGTTTCAAATCATCAAATTTTTATTGTTTTGGGTCGTCTTTATAGTCTCATCTTTTGTGGGGAAACCCGTATGAGAATTTTACCTTCTCACGCTGAGGGTAATTTTCAAGCCAAATAGGCTTTCGTAAAGTTTCTTATAAATCTTAACGTTGCAAACACATGTTTACAAATTTGGGTAAAGGTAATTTAATTTTTTTAATTTTTCAATTTAATTAATTCTTTATATTTTTAGAGAAGAGAAGAAAATAATACCTGAATATATTCTTGAACAAGAATTAGGTCAGATTTAGATATTTATTTCTCAAAAACATGGTAAGTTAAAAATGTAACGTTCAATAACATATTTTTATGTTTACATATAGTTGACAATTAAACAAATTTCAAGAGTTTTTGTTTTAACAATTTTGGGCCTAGTTAAAAGAAACTTTTTCTCTAAAAAGGATTCTAATTGAAATTTGTTTTTGAAAAAGATGCATTTCTAAAAATATCTCTGGTGCTCAATTTCAGTCTGTAAGATATTCAAGTATTATTCAGATTCAAAAAAATCTTTCACAACGCAAGTCAAAAACCTTTTTATTTTTATCAACTAGCAAGGATGAGGTAAATTCGTTGTTTTGATTTTTTACAGGGTTAATTCATTAACTTTAATTTTACTTCAGATTTTTAAAAATATTTGAAAGCTAATAATTGTCAATCAACTATACAGTGATTAATCAGAGCTGCAGGAACTTTTATGTAGTATGCTCATCCAACACTTGATCTCGATATCCACTGCGGACACTTTTAATTTGATATTTAATACCAAATAGAGATTTAATTAATCTTAAGATTAACAACAGATCAAGATAATTTTGATCTCGAAATTCACAAAAAAAGAGTTCCCACTTCAGCTGATTCAATTCTTCAATTGGAATTTAATCGCTTTTTTGTCTACGGATAACAACATACCTTAAACTTAAGGAGTACGAAATGGAAAAGAGAATAAACCACAAAGATTATTCTGAATATTACAAATTATAGCTGGCTGGGAAAATAACGAAAGAAGCATAGTAAAGATCGAAGATAGTAGAGCATAAGAGCTTTCCAATGATGTATCATTTGTCATTTTTGGATATATTTGGACCCCCCTCCCAGCGTATTCTGGTTTTCAAGTACCCCAGCAGTGATAGGGCTAATGGTTGTAGAATATATTTATATATCAGATATCTAGATTATCTTGTGTAAAAAGCTATGAAGTATGTTTTTCATCCGAAATAGCTCGCTGTAACAAAGACGACATCTGAATATATTGTGGCTTTACAGGATCCATCCAAGGATAAATGAACGGGAAAAGTAATTATAAATTGAAATCATTAAAAATCAATGCTAGCTATAATTCATACAATGTTTGTAAATGAAAAGATTATCAGAATATATTCATTTTGTCCATTCTCTCCCTGAAACACAAAAAAGGTGGGAGTTGACTTGCAATTGGCAAGAAAAGACAAAAAAAACATATAATAAAAAATATTTTAAAAAAACAAGAAAAACAACCAAACTTTATTTAAATGCGCATAATAATAAAAGGCATCTCTGAAAATTAAGATCTTTCTGAGGCCGAATTTACAGAATTTTAACTGCTTTGCTGAACTGCCAAAAAAAACCTATTCTAATTGAGCGCCGACTTAAATCTCAAAACACTGAATATAATCTCAAGTGGAACCAACCGGTGTTTGAGCCGCGTCTCAAATTTGAGATGTCGCTTAAAATCTTTAATTTCCGCCTATGGTCTTATAATATATTTGTATTATATTTTGTATTATATCTAGAGAAAAGGATGATGAATGTTTATGAGGAAATGGCTCTGAACAAAATAAAAGGTGACTCATTTTTTTAAATTATAGATTTACAAAATTGTTACTGTCGCTAGAGGAGCTTTAATGCAGACGACCTGGATCTGAACTGTTAAAGGGACAGTGAGCGTAAATTCAAGTTACCCTTCATGCAAATATGGCAATGTCCGATTTACAACGGTACTCTTGAAACTGATGTGATCAAAAACGAGGAAGAGAACGTCGTTTTTCACTCGAAAAGTGAATATTTTTGTGAATTTCTCCATTGTTTCTTATGGGCAAGAAATGTGCGAGTAGAGAAATTAGAAACGAAATTAAACAGTTTGATCAATTCACACTTGGTCAGACAAAACTTGTTAGTACCGTTGTAAATCGGACATTGCCATGTTTGCATGAAGGGTCACTTGAATTTATGTTTAATGTCCCTTTAACAGTTCAGATCCAGGTCGTCTGCAGGGAGGGTCAGTTAATATTACGCTTACAGTTCCTTTAATTTTGTCTCTCAATGGTACATCTTGATGATCTGACAAAAAAGAAACAGATATGACAACTAAGTACATCCTGTCTCTGTATCCGATATGACAACTAAGTACATCCTGTCTCTGTATCCGATATGAAAACTAAGTACATCCTGTCTCTGTATCGACATATTTCAGTCATATTTTAATCTAATTCAAACTCCGTTGACAAAATTATAAAAGACTTTATATACTAAAATATTTAGAATATATTGTCCTTCCAACAAAAACCTACGAAACTGCAAATACAAAAAATCTTCATTATCCTGGTAAAAATTTAAGACTCGCTGACTTTGTAACCAGAACCCATAAGGAAATGGGTTTTTGCCACAAACTCTATATTTTTTAATAGAACTGGTGTAGCTGACTCGAAAAGTATTTAATTCCGATTATTTCTCTATTGCTACATATAAGCAAGAAATGTCCAAGTCACTTTTGCAGAGAACCCGCAAGTGAAAATAAACAGTTTAAAGAAACAAAAACATGGATATGTAATTCATCCTTCTGTATTTCTGTATTTAGAACTTGAAGATGATTATGAAAGAAGAAAACATTCCGACTACAGGTAGAGATGGGCATCTTAGTAGAAATGGGCATGGTTTTTTGAACGAACGAAAATTTTCGTGAAAAAGGGTGTCATTCAGAAAAAAACGAACGATGGATGAACGAAATAGATCGTTCAGAGAAATGAAAAATAATCGTTTTTTAAAAACGACCAAAAAAATGGACAATTTAAAATCTTTCGAACGAACTTAAAAGAACGTTCGTTTTTTACTGAACGAATTTATTTTCTAAATGATTATTAAAAACTATCGGTTTTTTACTGAACGACCTTTGGAAAAAAATTATAGGTTTTAACTGAACGAACAATTTTATTGAACGAATGATTTTACTGAACACTCGCTTAGTGAGAAAACTAAAGAAATAGATGGAAAATGGACGAAAATTTGGAGAATGAATAAAATCAATTTTTTTATAAGCATTAAAACAATGGGTCGTTCATAGACGATGAACGAATGAAATGAAAAAAACCGAACGCGCCCACCTCTAATTACAGGGTGGCAGATTACAGTGCAGTGCTGCATAAAGATGAAACTTTTAAGAAAAATAAAAGTTCTCACGCCAAACAACAAGCATTGAATCTCAGGTAGGTTTTTCTCTTATAATTTTGTAAATATTAAAACTTCATGACAAACTTTCGGCTCAAAAACTGTATATATACTATAAATACAGTGATAACCATAAAACAGTGGAATGAACATCGCGCGTCTTCCTTCTTTCGTTTTACTATTAGAAGTCGCTTAAAGGAATTGAGTCTTTGCCAAAAACTCAGATTTTCTCATCCCAATATCTTTGCAACCCAATGGACCTTAGATATTTCAAACTTTAATTCTGTTCTATCAAAAAACATAAAGTTGAAATACCAAAACTTTACACCATCAGGTTGCAAAGATACAGGGATCCGAAAATTTGATTTTGTGGCAAGGACTCAGTTTCTTTGGTAATTTGAACCTGATTATTTCTAGAAATGTCTTCTGAGCTGAAAACTCGAATTACTTAATCTGAGTATCCAATGAACACACTTTTGATTTTCTTCTTAAACCGTTCTTTATTGGATATAGTAGAGAAAAATCAAAAACCGGTTTTTTTTATTTAGAGAGTCCCTCCCGTTGCTGTATATAATCTTAAATGGCGCGCAAAATTTCAAATTTATCGGCTTCATATTTGCGACTCTAATTGGTTGAATTTTATACACTTTTCAGCATACAAGTACAAGATTAGGTTAGGCTCGAGATGAAGAAAAAGAGAGGATCAAGCATGAATCTCAATATCCACCATTCTAAAGTTTTCAGCTCTGAACATTTAAAAAATACTTTAAAACTGTAAATTACATTAGTTTTAAAGACATTTATCTATCAAAAGAAAAGAGAACCACGGCTAGAATTTATGTTATATTAGTGTATATGTATGTTATTATTATATATATATGTCATTATTTCAAAACTTCAAATGATGCTTTGAATACTTATTTTCTTATGTTATTATTATATTTATGTTATTATTATATATATGTAATTTTATATATTTATTTGTTATTATTATAGGGCTAAAGCACTTTATAACTTTAATCCAGAGAGAGACGGAGAGCTTGAGCTCAAAAAAGGTATTTTAGATGCTTTGTCCTACATTTATCAATACATTAAGGGATGGGTGGAATGGGTGGTATGGATGAGATGGATGGGATGGATGGGATGGATGGGATGGATGGGATGGATGGGATGGATGGGATGGATGGATTATAAAAGGATTATAACTTTGTCCGTTCAGCAATTTCAATTCATCCTGATTCAGCAATTAATAGTTTTAGAATTTAAAATGTAAAAAAGAAAATGGAAAATATTTTTGTCAAAAGAAATTTTACAATAAATTTGGACAAATCAGTTGACATTTTCTACTTGACATTTTCTGCTTGACATTTTCTACTTGACATTTTCTACTTGACATTTTCTACTTGACATTTTCTACTTGATATTTTCTACTTGACATTTTCTACTTGACATTTTCTGCTTGACATTTTCTACTTGACATTTTCTATTTGATATTTTCTACTTGATATTTTCTACTTGATATTTTCTATTTGATATTTTCTACTTGATATTTTCTACTTGATATTTTCTATTTGACATTTTCTACTTGATATTTTCTATTTGATATTTTCTACTTGTCATTTTCTATTTGATATTTTCTACTTTTAATACAGTTTTGAAACAAAAAACCACTCAGCGCTTTCCCCCCTTTTTTTAGAAACACTTAAATCGTAAATTATCTTTTTTTCTTTTTCAAATGCTGACGCTAAACTATGAAAAATGTTAATTATCATTAAACAAAAATAATTACAAACGAGTAAAATAACTATATATAACATTGTTATTTTAGTTCGGAGTGATATAAAGTTCTTGAACAGAAATTTTCTCTTTATCGAGAAGGTTCAAGCCTTTTAAATTTTAATTTAGTCCCAAGCTTTAGCAAGGGACAAAATATAATCTAAAAAGTCCAAAAACTGTATAGCTGCTCGACGTGCCAAAATAATAGTGTTATTGTTAAGTTTTTGAAACGTTTGTGCATTATTTCAATGGCTATTTCTATAGACCAAATAAGCTTTGAAACAAAGAAGTAGTAAAAAAATTGATTTCAATTTCATTTTCATTTCAATTGAAAAATTTAGTTTGGAAATATCCTAAATTTTTGGAAAAAATCCGGTATCAATCAAAATTGTATAGCACATGTGCTATAATGTACATCTAATTTAACATTACAGCACGATGATTACTTTATAGCACGTTATTTTTAAATCCACGATGACGTGTTTTTTTCTCTTCATTTTTTATTTTTAGGATAAAAATATTGCAAAGTGTAAAAACAGAATACAGTTTTTAAATTTGTAAAATCTATTTAAAGTTTTCAACAAACTACTCAAAACGATGAAATCTACCTAGGTAACCTTGTGATGATAGTTGGTAGAGTGGATGAGAACTGGTTGGTTGGAGAGATAAATGGTAGAAAAGGACTCATCCCAACTTCATTTATACAGATTATTGAGGAGGAAACAGGTAGGCATTTTTACAATTTTAGAATTTTTTTGTATTATTAAATATTAAATATATTTTTAAAACTGAGTATCATCAAGTTTTGTTCCAAGCAATATAAACTATATTAGGAAGAGAAAAGAAATTATAGAAACTAGCTGAAGTACCCGGCGTTGCCCATGGAGAAAAATCGAGTTTTGAAGAAAAAATATTTCGATGTTTTTCTATGTTACCACTGGGGTACTAATGAGTTTCCCCAAAAAATGTCAGCCAATTTTGTCCAGCCGTTTGGCCAGCTAAAGCCAACATATATATATATGAACGAAGAGTTTTATTATATAGATTTGAAAATTCCAAATTTTTTTTAATGAATGACATTGTAAGTTGTACATGTTTGTGGACTTTGGTAAATACATTTGTTGGATTGAAAAGCTGAATTTATAAACATTCAAAAATTCGCTTATGTTTTCGATGATAAATGTTTTAAAAACTTTTTTTCCTTCAAATATCTAAACTATCTTTCTGATGGTGAACATTAGGCATTGCCATCCTTGCATAGATGGTCACTTGAGATTATGCTTACAGTCCCTTTAATAAGTTTATTTTCAAGATGTTCTTGCTTTCTACATATTTTAAATACACATCAGATTGCTTGAGTGTCATCTTCTAATCCCACATTTTGATGGGTTCCATATAGTATTGTTATATTTAAACCAAAATTAACTAATTCTGGGAATTTCTAAATGTGATTTGTTAGGTTTACGACTGGTGGCTAAATATAGTTTCCGGTCAGCTAAACAGGAGGAGCTGACTATAGTCAAGGGAGAGATAGTGCAGTTCGAGAGGTATAGTTCCTAGCCGCAGTAGAGTAGGCCATCCATCCCTCCCTTCCTCCCTTCATCCCTTCTCCTACCCCCTTCCTGCATTTCTAAAGGTATAGTTCCTAGCCTCAGTAGACTAGGCCATCCCTCCCTCCTGCCCTCTCTTCCCACTCTTCCCCCTCTTGCCCCTCTTACCCCTTTTACCCCTCTTACCCCTCTTCTTCCTCTTTAAGGTTTGCATGATTAAGGTTTGTATTATTAAGGTTTACATTTTAAAGGTTTATATGATTAGAGTTTGTATGATTAAGGTTTGTATGTTGAAGGTTTGTATGATTAAGGTTTATTTTATTAAGGTTTGTAAGATTAAGGTTTGTATTATTAAGGTTTTCATAATTAAGGTTTGTATGATTAAGGTTTGTATTATAAAGGTGTACATGATTAAGGTTTGTATTTTTAAGGTTTGTAATTAAGATATATATGATTAATTTTGTATCATTAAGGTTTATATGATTAGTTGGTATATATGATTAAGGTTTATATGATTAAGGTTTGTTTGATTAAGGTTTGTATGATTAAGGTTTGTATGATTAAGGTTTGTTTGATTAAGGTTTGTATAATTAAGGTTTGTATAATTAAGGTTTGTTGATGAGAATTGGGTTGAAGTGAGTATGGGAGAAAGGATGGGTATAGTTCCCGTATCCTACCTAGATACAGAAAAGGTACAGATGTATGTTAATGTCGTCTTCCATCATCAGTTTGATTCTTGAAGCATCATAAGTTACCCCTAAAGGATGAGATTTAGTTTAAACCTAGTGTTTACTCAATTATTATCAAAGACAACATCTAATACATTTTGTGCAAATTTTATTTGAAAATAATTTAAGAAGACGACAAGTATTTCAATCATTTCTGATCAGTTATGTATCATAAGGAGGTATTGAGCTGGGAGAACGAGGTTTTATCCCTCTCATCTTCACCCTCACCCTCGCCCTCTACACCAGAGAGGGATAAACATCCAGATGTTATAGAGGAGAACGTTTTCAGGTTGGTCTGTTATTCAGTTGGTCGGTTGATTCATTGATTGGTTGTTGTTAGATACCCTAAGGAGATTGGGTATATTCCTAGAGAACGATTAGATTGTTTAGCCCAACCTATAGTATAATATATCAAATATGCAGTACGTAGAGATGGGCACGTTCGACTTTTTTTCTTTTCGTTCGTTCATAATTCATGAACAACCCATTTCGTTCGTTTTTATCAATCATTCAAAAAAATATTTTGTTCTTTATCTAAAAATTTTTGTTTACAAATGTGTTCGGAAAAATCGTTCATTCAGTAAAAAACTATCGTTTTTGAAAAAACTTTGTTCCCAAAAACCGTCGTTCAGTATAAAATACGATATATTCAGTATAAAATAGTTCAGTATAAATACGATATATTCAGTATAAAATACGATATATTCAGTATAAAATACGATATATTCAGTATAAAATACGATATATTCAGTATAAAATACGATATATTCAATATAAAATTTAAAATACGATATATTCAATATAAAATACGATATATTCAGTATAAAATAGTTCAGTATAAAATGAAATATATTCAGTATAAAATACGATATATTCAGTATAAAATATAAAATACGATGGTTTCTAAGAAATCTTTTGAAATTAATTTGAACGATTTTAAATTGTTCGTCTTTGTTTCTTTTCGTTTGTTTTTAAAAACTTAAAATATTTACATTTCTTAGAACAATTTGGTTCATCCATCGTTTGTTTTTTTCTGAATGACACTCTTTTTCAACGAAATATTTCGTTCGTTTAAAAAAATCGTTGATTAGTTGGTTGGCTGGTTTATGGTTGTTTGCTTTTTTTGTTTTTTATTTGGGTGGTGGGTTGTTTGGTTGGTAAACAGCTTATTTGGTTGGCTGGTTCATAAATTGATTGGATGGTGGGTTGGTTGGTTGGTTGGTTGGTTGGTTGGTTGGTTGGTTGGTTGGTTGGTTGGTTGGTTGGTTCATAGTTAATTGACTGGTTGATTCTAGTTGGTTGGTTCATTGTTTTTTCTTGCTTACTCACATTAAAACTAGTTTTTTAGGGTTTCCATGCGCAAAATCTGTTTAAAAATTTGTTAAAATTTTATTGGAAAAATTATAAAAAATATGTTTTTGTATTAGTTTTCCGATATCCCTTACAAAAAAAGGCACTGGGAAAAAATAATTTTTATTTAATACATTGTTCTTTTGTGGTAAGCGACAAGATAAACTTTTAATTTTTACAGATAGTTTAGCCAGCCACATGATCAAGTTTTGCGCTATTTTCGCACAATTACAAATGGAAACCCTGATTTAAGAAAAAATATTTATTTTATTAATTAAATATGTTTTTAGACCTTCTGATCTGTTGAAGTGTAAACTGCGAAGCGAGTTTAGAAAAAGAGAAGAGAAAATGAGAAATCTTGAATCAAGTTTAGATCTGGAATATTCTCTTTCAAGTTTAGATTTGGATTCTGATACAGGGAATACAACTGTTCAATAGCTAGTTTACAGGACAGAGTCTAAAACTAAAGAAGGAAAAGTTGCGACTGAAATGTTAAGTTTAACCCATTTTTGCTGACCAGTCCCTTAAAATAAACCGGAGGTTAACGACTGTTATAAACCTATTCCGCGGTCGGGCTATTTTTGTCTAATATAGATTGTGTGGTGCCCCCCCCCCTCCTCCCCTATGATTTTTCCTTAGAGTTGAGATAGGGGAGCTTGATACAAGTCCCTAGTCCAACTTTTCAAGGCCTGCTCATTAAAAAAATTAAACCTCTAACTTTAATGACTAGGGGCGCAAGGGAGAATTTTAAAAAAGTTCAAAAAGTACGTCGGGAAAATTTGGCAAATTTGTTCAAAACAATAGATAGAAAAAAACACAAAGAGGGGTGTGTGGAACCCCCCCCCCCCCCAGTTGTGATAGTTTCTCAAGCAAATATATATTAAATTCTTAGTCTTCTATCCTTCCTAAAATCTTTTTTGATGTTGTTACAAAGCAAATAGTTTTTTAGTAATTTATAAAATCAATTAAAAAGTGAAATGGGTCTGTTTACACTGCACAATTCTGCTGTTTTTAATGTTCATTGAACAATTTAAAGAATTATATTCCAGAGTTTTCTGGTTTTGATTGAAATATCTTCTTGGAGACATCCTAGATATTTTACCATATATTCCAAGTTATATATTCTAATACCATTTAATATGTTTAATATAATGGCAATTTCCCGGGAACGCTTTTGGGACATGTGGCCGCTATGCTTGGACCCATATAGCCTGTTCTTGCTACGGCGCTTGGCCCCCTAGCTTTTCCTGGCCGCAGCGCTCGCCCAGAAATTGTCTTAGCCTGACCTAACCATGAAATAATGCAAAATAAATAGTAAAATGTACAAAATTGACAGGAAGAGGGGGGGATGGGGGTGGGGTCCAAAAAGCGTTCTCTAGAACAGACCCAATATAAAATGTATGCAAATTATGTACACTTCTGAAGTGGGCAGTGCTAGAATTCTTTCTAGAATATTTCTGACACATTATTGTTGATAGTTTTACCCTTAAACAAATATGCTTATTGGTTACCTACAGGCTCTTATTTATGATATTATTTATATGCTCAATTTTTCAGGTTTATTCTAATATTTTTAGCATTAAACATAATTATGATGTGTTTTGTCATTAGGGCAGATTTTGCAGACTTAAGTTGTATTTTTTTCGTTTATAAAAATCTCGTGTTCTCTTTAATTTGAACTTTAAAATGTTTGCCATGGAAAAACTAGTCTGTTCTAGACCAAAAATATCCATTGATTATTTTTCTTATTTTTGTACAAAAACAGAAAAAATAATTAATGAAATTTTTCAAACATTTATGGTTGTCCGACTAGAATATGTGATTTTTAAGATTTCCATAAAAGCCTGCAAAATTTTAAGATATTATTATTATTATAAAAAGATTTTATCGATAATTTAATTCAAGGTTGTTTTTTGAAGTCAGGTTGCTATGAAGACGACATTTCCCGTGCATTGGAGCGCATCTAGAATATCTAATCTTAATACATAATCTTGTTTTTATTTTTCATCGCGGCCTTATATGCAGCATATTTCAGAGTAAATGAAAGTGCATGAAGACGACCATTGCTAACAATTTATATATTTAAGAGAGTGGAAGGCGATTAAAACAAAACACTGAAGACGATTTTTTATTGAAGTTTTAATTGTTAACAAGAGTTTTTCGAACTACAGGTTTATAAGTAATCAAAGAGAAGCTTATTTTAATTGACAGCTTTTCTTGATTTCTATGCTTATGTGTATCCAGATCCACGCTGTTTAACAGCTTGGTATAAATCAAAATGCAAACCGAAAGTCGTCTTCATTATATTGAAATAATTGCTTACCATTGTATCTAATCCTAATGGTGCAGGAACTGAAAGAGGATATTTGTCGCATCATATAACTTTCTAATCCCCTTTAATCTCTCTACAGAGGGAGAAAAATATTTATAGAATGTTAGAACCTGTATTATATATATATATGAATAAATAAATATATAAATAACATTTTTTCTTTTGAGTTTTGGAGGGCTATAGTTCATATATTTTCCGTATATGTAAAGGGTGTACATAAAAATGCTTCCAGCTTATATTTTGAACTCTAGAGATCTCAATATTTGCGATAAAATCTTGTGGATTCATGAATTCATATTTACCCAATATGTCATACAAATAATTTTTTCGCGAAATTTTTGCATTTTCTATTTCCCGAAAATTTCGCATTTTTTTGGCGGAACAGATTGAGGCGAAATTTCGAGAAAAAAACGAAAATTTTCCCATGCGAAAATGCGAAAATGAAGCGAAAAGGTCGCAAGAAAAATTTTTTTTTGCAAGAAATGCGAAATTTTCGCGAAACGATTTTTCCTTTCCGCTGGAAACCCTAGTATAGACACATGCATAGACTTCTTAACTCTACAAGGTTCTTACTTGTCAACATTACTTTTCTTATTAATGATGTTTTTCTTCAGGGTTGGCAGGGCATGGATTATACTGCTAAGTTGCTTGATTTTAAGGTTTCAGCCAGGAAAGGTACAGCTGATCCTATACATTTGAAGGCTACAGAGCTTATTACCTTATTTTCGCTGTGAACATATATCTAAAAGCTTATTAGTTTCGTATTTATGATTTTTGCCATTTTTGCCATAGGGCTGGGCAAAGTTCCGGTAACAAAACTGAGGTTTTCGAATGGTGACCGTTAACGATCGGCAAAAACCGTTAATTTGTAAATCGTTAATGAAGCGGATTAGCCGTTTTTGAAGAAAAAAATAACGGTTAAGAACGTTATTATAAACTCTAAAAACGGTAAATTTCGTTATTTTTTGATTAAAATTACATGAAATATTTATTTAATTAAAAAATTTTACTTGTTTTGATAGTTTTAAAAGTCCTCTTCTGTGTTTATAAACCGTCAACGCCGTTAATACTGTAATATATCGTTAATGGCTGTGCTGTATACGATTTTTTACCCGTTAATGAAAATTTTAATTTTGTAATAACGGTACCATTAACGTCTTGACAAGTTTTCAATGAGCTTTATACAATTTTACGTAAATCTCAGTATTTGTGAAAATAAATAAATATCCATGAATATTGAATGGGAACTTTTTTAAAGAGTTCCATATAATAATTTATTTGAAAATCTAAATATCTGTAACATTCCTATTAGAAAGTGAAGATTACGACATTTGATGAATTCTTACGATGCATGGCTTATTTAGGGTTTGCAACATTCCTATCTGAAAGTGAAGAATACGACATTTGATTAATTCTGACGATGCATGGCTTATTTGGGGTTTAACTGTATGATATACAATATGTTCTTATTAATATCCTTTTACTGATTTAATCAATTATTTGCTTTAGAACAGCATCAAATAAACATGTCGTCTTCTCAAATTAAACTAGATTAAATAAGAAATGTATTACAATTGTTAAAACGATTCTATAACTTTTCGGACAAAATTTAGCACGTGAATCCCAGATATATGAATACATAGACCGTCATAAGATTTTTGATAATTTAAAGAAACTTCTTCTTATTTTTAATTCAAGGTAAATCAATAGTCCTGAAATATAAACGCAATTGATATGTTAATATTAAACTCATTTTTCTGCGTCATTTGATCTGAAATATGTGATACGAGATTTTAAACTCTTGCTATATGTATATCTGGGATTCACTGTACCAAACCCAACACTTCTGAAATATGGCCGAATATTATTTTCAAATTTTGATTCCAAAATTGTCATCTCTTTCTAACAAAAGGTTAGTTTATTAAAAACAAACCTTGCTCTACCATCTTATAAACCTCTGTACATAAATAAAAAGAATGATGAACATATAAACGGTATATTTTATGTAAATATATTTAAGAACTCTCACAGCCGTTTGTTTAAAAACATATAACAAGGTATGTACAGCACTAGCAGTACAATAACAGGACATGTACATTAACAAGGCATGTACATGCAAGGATGACTTATGTTCAAATGAAATGATTTAGCGCTATTAATGGATACGATATCAAACCAGCTTAGTACTCCCACAGTGGACTAGGGTCAATTTGAATTCGAAGCAGACCGACCCCTTGTACTGGCGCGGCCAGTCTTTTTACAGTACCAGGCCTAGCCTAGGCCTATTTTACCCACTCCAATAAACTATTTTAGTGTGCTGCGCTATATACAATGTAACTATATGACTGACTGGTAAATAAAGCTAAGTATTAGTTAGCTTGCACCAATGTATAGGTTAACTCGTTTTCATAAAAATTTGGAACTTTTAAAATAGCACTTCTATTGCAGTTCATAAAGAACTTAAATATAAAAATTGAATTTCTGAATTTAACGATTGCATTTTATGTTTATGAATAGAGATTTCTGTTAATATTAGATTCATATAATGGCGCTCTTGAAAGTTGTTTAAAAAGTTCATGGCTAATTCACTGGGCTACCGAGTACAGAATTGCTTTTAGATTAAAATTAAATTTTTGCAAACTATACGTAAACGGGGCCTGACGGATTCTCATTATCGTCTGTCGTCTGTCTGGTGTATGAAGACGAACTGGAGGAAGTAGGGTATGGGTGTCCGGCATCATCGAAAAATCTTCGAAATGTAAATTCATAAAAACCGTGATAATCCCGATTATTCTCATCCATCTCGTTGTTCTCGTCATCATTGCGGAGTTTATCCGGATCAATGGGATCAAAGTTTGACGTATCCGTATCAAAGAGAATACTGGGCTTATAGGGCGCCTCCTTGCTGCGCAACCCTGCCGTAAACTCCACAGAACTGAAGAATCGATGCTTTTTAATCTCGTCAGTGCCATTAGCTCCTATTCTTCTATCAGGAGAAGTACACAGGGAGAATATTAGATCCTTAGATTCAGGACTCAGGCCTGCAGAAGACGGGATATGCATGTACTGATCCCAATGAATCACCTAGAATAATTTAATGATTAATAAAACTAATTCTTGTCTTAAGGGGCTGTAAGCCTAATTTTAAATGACCCTCTATGCAAAGATGGCAATACCAGATTCACAACGGTACCCTTGAAACATTTATCCTTCCAGAGTGTGGAAACTATTTCCGTTTATCTAGGCTGAAAAGTGTTTAATTCTAATAATTTGTCCTGCCCTGTCACCCTAAACTAAGCGTTCGGGGCGTACAAGCAGTGATCAGCTGTATATTGAACGAAGAAATTGCAAATTTTGGTGGAGAGTGCTGCAGTAGAAATACGCACTTTTGTTGGTCAACATTGATATCTAATTCATACTTGATCAGACAAAGTTTTTAAGGGTACCGTTGTGAATCGGGCATTACCATCTTTGCATGGAGGGTAACTTGAAATTACTCTTACAGTACCTTTTCATCTGTGAAGTAAGTCGTAATATAATTTTCAATAGAAGATGTTGCTATAGTCCTTTTCATTGATTAAAACATTTTTTCAGGAACTGATTTTTTGCCAATTGTTCTTAACTTTGAACTCTGCTAGATCATACAGTCAAAGTTTTAAATATCAAGGTCCATGACACCAGTATGCAAAAGTATAGGAATACTTTAGTGTTCGTAACAATTGAATAGTTCTTTCTACATAATAGAAGTTTTCCAAATTAGAAAACCAATTCTTTTTTTGAAAGGAAAAATTGTCTAACCCCTATATCTTTGCAACCTGGTGATGTAATTGATATTTCAAACTCGAGATTATGGTTTGATGTACCAGAATTCAAAATTTGAAAAATCTAAGGTTTACGACAAAGAAATGGGGATTAATAAATTATAGTCTGTGACAATGACTGAATTCATTTCTAAAATCAAACATTTTTACAACTGTTGGCTTACAACTGACCTTGCATTGAGTTTTATGAAATAGTCAAAGTTTGAAATATCAAAAGTATCAGGTTGCAAGAATATAGGAAGTTTACATTTAGGTCTTATGGCGAGTAATCATGGCTAATTTCTAGGAGCTTTCAATATAAGGAAAACCATTCTTGCTTTAAGAAGAAATTTTTAAAATCAAACATTTTTTACAACTTTTCTCTGTGATTTAAAGGTAACAAGCTCTCAAGCAAAAATCGATAATAATTTTTCCAATTACTTCTTTAAAACGAAAGCTAAAAACAAGTGCTTTATTGTTCTAAAATGTATATGTTTAGGGCTACAAAAAACATAAGATAGTTAGAGCGGCATAGTCAAAGTCCCAGTCGTGGCGACTCTTCAAAGTCGACCCTGTCTTAAAAATTATACAACTTTTAATAGCAGATTGAATCTATGTGTGTATTGGTTTAAGACTGACCTTGTATTGAGTTTCAGCCGGAGAGTTAGCTAGGAAAGGTGGTTGACCGACCAGCATTTCGAACAGGATGACCCCAACACTCCACCAATCACAGAGCTGGGTATACCCCTGGCGTAGGAGAACCTCAGGGGCAATATAGTTAGGGGTCCCAACTAGGGAGTGGGCAAGACAACGCTGGTGCTCCCTTTTTCGTCTTCGCTCCAAGGGTTTCATACTGTTTGTGGAGCTGGGACAGGAACACCGACCTGAGTCTAGATCTAGATTTCCAGGATCCATTGAGTCCTGGCGACTATGCCCGGTCAGATCTAAATATATTAAATTTGCATTACAAAATAAAACTTAGATATCCCAAATTATGAATTTTATTAGATCAAATAATATAAGTGTTTAAAATATAAAAGGTTTACAGCATCAGGTTCCAAAGATTGAAAAATTTCAGTTAGCTGCGAAGAATTAATTCCTGACACTTAAAAAAGAACTCAATTTTTCTAACCCTTATATATTTGCAACCTTGAACCGAATTTAATGAATTATTTTGCTGAACCACCTACTGCCGGTTGAAATTTTAATCACCGATTCAAAGTTATAAAATCATGAAGGATTTGAATTTTTGGTTTTGACTTCGTAGGAAGCTCAAATTCATTAAGTTCGGTCCCTTATCTGCTAAACCTTTCATATTTCAAACTTTGACTATCAGCAGAAATCATAATTTGATATTACAAAGACTTAGAAAATCATAATTCATAATTTGATATTTCAAAGATTAAGGATTAGAAAATTAGAATTCATAATTTGATATTTCAAAGATTTAAGGATTAGAAAATTAGAATTCATAATTTGATATTTCAAAGATTAAGGATTAGAAAATTAGAGTATGAGAAGAGTAATAAAGAGCTCTTTTTTTAAAAATGTTGGAAAAGTATACATATCCAAGTATATATTTGAAAAGTATACATTATAAAATATTTTTCAATTTTCCACCCTTTAACCATCAGTTAAAAAAACTGAGTTTGCTACAAAATCAGATTTTCTATCCCTATATTTCTTAGAAGCCCTATGTCGTACAACTTTGATTTTTCAAACTATTTAATTTGTTAGATCTAATATACTAATATACTAATATACTAATATAATTATCAGATTGCAAAGATATTAGAAAATTTTAGTTTTGACAAAACTCAGTTCCTTAAAATCTAAATCATTTTTTTAAAAGGATTTTTTTTATACAGGGTGAAAATATAATTAATAATTACCGTTATTTTGATAATATTTTGAGTTATGAGTCCATCTGAACCCAGTGCAGAGTCCAAAATCTGTGAGCTTTATATGCCCGTTTGCGTCTATGAGGATATTATCAGGTTTTATATCCCTGTGAATAAAACCCATTTTATGAACACTGTCCACAGCACAAACCAACTCACTGATGTAAAACCTAAAAAGTTTTAAATAAATTAGTCTTAAATAGTAGATTTAGGGCAACATTTTCATCTGTTTTAAAACAGTTATTTTCAGCTTTTAAAAACTTCTTAACAATTTGAGAAGTTTAATGATAAATATGAAAAGAACATCTTGCACATGGTTTAATAATAATAATAATTCAGTTTTTTTGAAAATATTTTTTGAAGCTTATACATATATTGTTTTTAGCTTTATCTCTAGCAGTTTTTGAAAATAGTCCTTCTAATAAAAAGTTCACTATAGTTTCAGTAGAAGAAAATATTTTCATTTACTGTTATAGCGCCGCAATAAGGATTTATCTCTAATTGGATAGTGGGATATGCACTTTCTATTGGTTCAGATTAGACACCAAACACATGTCTGAACCCTGATTGGATCAGGACTCGGCATACAGGAGTGGTTCTGAATTGGACCAGATCAATTTTTAAATGAAGGGTTAATTAGAGAACCCGCAATTTAAAAGAATCAGTTTTCAAAATTATAAACATTGATATCTAATTCAAACTTGATCCGACAAAGCGTTTCAGTGTACCCTTGTGAATCCGACTTTTTGTGCATCGAAGGTGACTTGGAATTACGGGTACAGTCTCTTTAAAGTATTAGAATATGTACCTGGCCAGGTTCTCAGAGAATATTCCAAATTTGATGAGAAGAGACATTAGATCCCCCCCGGGAATATACTCCATCACAAAATACAGGTTGTCCCGGTCCTGGAATATTATTATTGTTATTACTTTATTTTTGCAACCTAATGGTGTAAACCTGGCGGTGATATTTTAAACTATTTGAGTGAGCTGAATATCAATACTTTAAAATTTCTGAGGTTTACGAGATTAGGTTGCAAAGATATAAAGGTTAAAAAATCAGATTTGTGGCAAGTGTTCATTTCATTTCCTAATTGGTTAACTTTGTCCGCATGCAGTCCGCCGTGGTTATCAAACTTTACCTGAAACGAATACATGAGTTTAACCACCCATTCATTGTCCGCCTCGGATAGAATATCTCTCTCCGCCTTGACATGCGCCACCTGATTCCTCTTTAACACCTCAACCTTTTTCAAAGTCTTCATCGCCCACAGTTGGGGACTGTCAACCTTCCGGACCAAGGCGACTTCTCCAAAAGCACCAATTCCAATTGTTTTCAACCTTTTAAACATAGTTTTATCCATTTTAGACCGTTTGGCACGCAGATGATTAGACTCCTTTTGGCAGAGCATTTTCCGCATTTGTTCCTGAGCTTCTTCCGCCAGTCCTATCCGCAGCATTTCCTTCTCCAGCTGCATTCGCCGCTTCCGCCGATCCTCTGAGGTTTTTATCACATTTTCTATATGTTGTTCCATGTAGAATTTGAAAGCTTGTGGAGGGCAGTTTCTAATTTTAGATTCTAATCTGGACTCTTCCTTCTCTCGAGAATAACTCTTTCTCTCTGGGATGGGAGATGTGTGATGAGTGGTTTTGTAAGGAGGTGGGGGCGGAGGCATCTCATTGCCCCCTGCGGGTGGGACCGGGGGTGGGTTCTCCCCCTCTGGAGTGGTATCTGATTGTGTAGATGAAGGTGTGGTAGAGGATATAAAGGATACAGGACTAGCACTAACCGTAGGACAGTCTGATGCTGCGGAGACAGGACTATCACTCCGAGAGGTAGAACTAGTTTCCGACATATGCGGAGAATATTTTCTTTGAAGTGGACTTTTCACTTCTATACTACGGACTAGGTTTGCATTACTTGCGGGCACAACCTTGGCGGTATTTATGACCGGGGATCCTCGGGCAAGGACCGGGGTAGCGGGCACCAGCCCTTCATCTCCAGCTCGGGGGACAGCTGTGGACGGATAAGGCGGCGGGGGCGGAAGATCTCCGATCTGAGGAGAGAGAGCCCGTTGTATTGCAGCATGTTTGGCCTGTATCGAGGCGTTGTATGAAGGCGGATTAGAGGAGGGAAGTGGTGTGGTAGGAATTGGGGAAGGGTTAAGCAAGGGGGAGGGAGGGATAGGCGTACTAGGCTGAGACTGTTTTTGCTGAATTGACTGGGCGTATGAGGGCGGGGGCGGAGGGGGCATAGAAGTTGAAACTCCTGTAGCGACACCGGTCACTACACCAGTCACTATATTCGTCGTTACAACGGCGGATTGGCCGGTAACCGCCCCCCTGGGTACGGCGGGTAGAAGGTTGGACGGCGGAGCTCCGTCTACTGGACTAGTTGGTGCACAAGCAGTCATTAAAACCGGTTTCTGAACCTGGGTTGATTTAACTGACTGCATGATTATTGGAGAATGGGTTTTGGCCTGACGGGCACTCCAAGCTTGCATAGAACTCGACCTAACAAATAAAAAATAAATTTGAACAATTTTAATCTTACGATAAACCACTGGCTTTATACGGAATTCCGATGAAAATTCTGCATAAAAACGAAGTGCTGAAGTTTCAAATTGCAGTCTTGACGATTTTACAGAGAAATTGAGTTAAGATTTTATATACGTGTATTTCTAGTTAAATAGATTAAACTCAGATTTTTTTCTTCAACAGATTATAATTGTTAAGCTACAAATCTTTAGAATTTAGTTGTTAAATATTTACATCTGCAGTTTTACTTATTTTCATTAATAATTAGATTTAAGAAGCTTTTGGTAAAACGCAGTTTACCAGATGATCTGTTCTGACTGTTCGCATTTTAACAAGCATAGTTTTTTTTTCTTTTTTTTTGAAGGAGGGTTTGGGTGGTTAAAAGGTTCCAGAGAATGTAAGCATTTTATCGATATTATATCTCAGAAAAGATTTATCGGAGATATTTTATCGATATTATATCTCAGAAAAGATTTATCGGAGATATTTTATCTCCATGATATTTAAAGATATTTTATCTCTATGATATTTTAGCTTTATGAAGAATCATTTGAATATACAAAACAGGCATTGATTTTTTTCAGTTTTTTCAGTTCAGTTTCCAAAAAAATCTAAGTATTTTACAAAAATTGTATCTCAATGAAAAATTAGTTAAGATGAAATTTACTTGAAATTAGAAAACAATTCCTTTAACTTAACAAAAATATCTGTTACCTGGATGACCCTGATAGTATTGAAGAGACTGGTGACGGACAGGGTAGAGGGGAGGAGGGAGAAGGTCCTAGTCCCATAGGGACCAGACCACCCTGTCCTAGTCCAACCTGGACCATACCAGGCTGTCCTAGTCCGACTTGGACCAGGGGGTAGTGAAGACCAGGGCTTCGTCTAAACATGTTAATGATAATACTAATAAAATAAGGACATACCTAATTCTTCATATATCATTAAAATGGCTTATGCGCACTAATGGTTTTTAAAAGCTAAAAATCGACTTTCTTTTCTAAAAATGATATATTGTAATTGTAATTGTAATTGCAATTGTAATTGTTTGATAAATGCGTAAATATATTAAGTAAACAATTTAAGAAATAAACGTGTGAATTTACGAAACTTACATAATAAAAGAAATAAAGATAGAAGACGACAAAAAATTCATAAAAGCTAATTTTCTACCTGTTGATGAACCTCTAGGTTGTTGGGTATAAGAAGAGGGGTTTGCCTGGCTACGGGGCTGGTTCCCCTGGCACCGGACAACGGTCGACCTGGACCTGGACCTGGTACAGGGGACATACGCCGGTACAGAGGGGGCAGTACACCGTTCATATCTTCAAATAGAGGGATTGTTAACCTTTTTAGTTAGCAAAACAAACTTTTTGAAAATTTTCTAAACTATTTAAAATTGTAATCTTGAAAATAAAATAGAATTCAATTTTAATTAATCAATCAAAATCTAGTGCAAGCAACAAAATGCATCAAATAAAATTGCAAAAAAAAACTTGGAGAAACACAAATGTTTGGATTACAATAAATTTAATTAAAGAAACAAAACTCACTATTGGCGGAGTGTGGCGGAAGAGGAGGTGGCGGAGTGGTCCCCCTCGGCGGTGTCGGCGGTGGATTATGAGATCCTCTGGGTGGCGGTAACGGCGGAGGGTTATCACTACCCGGTGAATATTGTCGGGAGGCTGGCGGATGCATTGCCCCATCTGCCGTGGTTGAGAGACGGGTTGGGTACAAACATGTTTACCACAAAAATTACTACAAAAAAGTAACTAAATATCCTTTTTTAAATTAAAATTGAGCATTTGTCTATATTTCTTAATTGCACTTATTTTATTTTTGCATTATTTCCCTTCATGTTACCTCTTTAACTGTGCATTATTTTGGCTGACTAAATAAACATCACTTCTGTTTTCTATGCTAGGTTTTCTACCAACAGCGGTTAAACCTGAAAAAACAAATTTTTAAATTAAAACAATTTTACAACAGAATTATTTTAAAAGCTGCTTAAGGTTTGACAAATGAATACAACGGGACCGGAGGGAGATTTATAAATTTGACAATAACACGGCATTCTCCATCTTATATGTATAAATTTAGCTTGGATGGGTGTCTGTTTGTTTGTAACCAATACATGTTAAAACGGCTGAACCTCAGGAAAGGGTAATGGATGATCAAAATTGTAAATGTGTCTCCATCAAAATTTGATTTTCATTAAATTTTTGAAAATTTTGAAAATCCACGAATTTTTTTTTATTTTACGATGTATACAAAGAGCAGATGTTCACAATTGATGGGCGCGAAGCTTTTTACTCAAATTGTTTTTGAGAAAAACGCAAAATTTCCAGGAAAATCGATAAGAAAATTAAGAAAATAAAGATATACAAAACAAAAAATTATCTAATTATTAAAAAAAAAAATTTTTGGGGGGGGGGAGAGTGTTGTTGAGAACGATATATTAATATATTTCTGTCATGAACTCATCATAAGGAAAAAAATTAAAACGTCATCAGTTGTAACATTTGAGGAAAAAATTTCATATCCTGTTCTTATGTGTTTTACTTTTATATAAACTAAATGCCCAGCCAGCAGGTTTTTTTTTACATGGATCCGGTTAGAAGGAAGGGGTAGGGAGGGGGGGGGCAGTAGAAAACATTGTGTTGCACATTTCTTTCTTTCTCCATAAATACAAAAAAGTTATTATTTTATGTCAATCGTAAAAAAATGTAAAGGTTTCTTTGTTAATTTCCCCCTGGGCTTATTAAACCTCTAAATATTTAATAGAAAAATGACAGGATAATTGTGATTTATCATACATTAATGTAAGGCTTATTAAAAATTTATCAATTCTAACAAATGTATCAAAAATTGCGAGGTGAGTACATTTTTGAGTCAAATTGTAATTTTAAACAAAATTGTTTTTACATGAAAAATATACAGATCTTGTTGTCAACTTTTTTGCCTTGCATGCATAGATTTAAATATTTTTTTTTGTCAAGCGAACAATTTAAAATACAAAACCGTTTTTTTTCTTTCAATTTTGTCTAACTTATTTTTCGACACATTTTCTTATCCTTATATGTTTACAACACAATGTCGTAGACCTTTCATATTACAAATATAAACTGTAAATTCTGTTAGATCAATATTGTTAGAATTATCAAAGGTTTACACCACCAGGTTGCAAAGAAATCAGGAATAGAAAACTTGAGTTCGTGGCAAAAACTCATGCATTTTGTATAAGAATAATCATAAGAGGGGTACAGGGGCGCACGAGGGGGGACCGGCCACCCCCTACGCTTGCCCCCCCTTAAGGGGGTCACACATAAATAATTTATTAACCCTTGTAATATGGAAGTGTGTGTATTATCGAATAGTTGACGTAGTTAAAAAAAGGTATCAATATTTTTTCAAAAAAGGGTTTATAATAAGAATAAAGATAAAATATTGTAAAAAAAAGATGGATTTCCACATATTGGGTAATAAATAATAACTGTATGTAAATATGTAAAATATTGTGTTAGTTATGTAGAATGATATGAGAATTATGTTACATTTAAAAAATGTTATGTTAGTTATGTAGAACGTCTTGTGAGATCTTCAGAATAGTATGTTATATGTGTAAAATATCAGGTTAGTCATGTAGAATATCATGTTATGTATGTAGAATATAACGTTAGTTATGTAGAATATTATTTTAGTTATGTAGTTTATTATGTTAGTTATGTAGAATATTATTATAGTTACTTAATATATTATGTTAGTTTTGTAGAATATTATGCTATGTATTTAGAATATTATGTTACCTATGAAGAATATCTAAGGTTGAACCAAGCCTCCCATCTCCCAGAGATACAGCACGGATAGCAGTAGCCTTATAAAAAAAGATATTAATCAAAAATAAAAATATATATCTACTTAACTATTAGAATTTGACTATAATCTTCGACTATAGTGAAATAAATATCTACTAAACCCCGCCCCACCCCCCTCTTTCATGGATCTTGATTACCGATGAGTAAACCTTATACTTGATTGTTACTATCTACTAAATATCCCCATCTCCCCAGGGGCGGATACATGATTTATGTGAGGGGGGTGCTCGATTTATTTCGGCGAAATTTTTTTTTGACTTTACTGCTTGGGGTGAAATTCCGTAGAAATTCCCAGGAATTTCTCGAAACTTATTCTCTTATTTGATTACCCTAAAAATCCACAAACATGGTGTACAAGACCTAAAAATTTCTCAGGAATTTCCAGAGAAATTCTCAGGAATTTCTTGGGGTGAAATTATTTTCCCTCAAGTGCTATTGAGAAGCTATTCTGAAATCTCAGGGGGGGTGCAAAGGTCCTGCCCCCCCCCTTGTATCGCGATCACCGGTAAGTAAATATACATAGGCTAGCCAGCCAAAACGTAACATTTACATTAAGAAATATCAAAACATCAAGAAATGTCATTCATTACGGATCTTCTCAAAACCATACCATAGAACTCTTGTTTCAAATGTACTTAAACAAAATTTAATTCGAATATTTTTTTCAGGAAGTTAGTGTTAAACCTGTTACGGTGGCCATCTTAGATTATGCAAAAACAAGTTTAAAAATATTCAGGTGCTGCAAATTATTAACATATTCTTTAACGTAATTTTATTTGTTAAACTAATATATAAATATGAATTTTCCAGATCTCCTTAGTTTCCTAACATTTTCAACGCCCCCCCCCCTTGCAATTTTTAAGGTTAAAACTTTAAATGGTTGAAACTTACAATATATCCACCATTAGAAACTGGTATCAAAACTATTCTCTGTCCTGCTTCCATTATATTTTACTTCAACTTTAATCACGTCTATCTTAATTTTATCATGTTTCACATAAAACTTTCTTATTTCACTACACAGAGCTGTACTTAAGATACAAAATGGTAGAATATTTGTGTATTTATCAGTCAAAATTAAAATGGTGTACTCCAAGGAAACGTTGTATCACCGGCTACTCAACTCGGTAAACTGAACAAAGGGGGAAGCACTAGTACCAGCATGGAGTAGCAGGGGGGGTGGGCACACAGGTGACCCTCTCCCCCACCCCTTTCTTACACTCACCCCCTTCCA